CACTCACTTAAATCACAATCAAAAACTGATGTTTATAAAAGAAAAAACATTTGAAATAATACAAAAACAAAACACGATTGAGTAAAAAAAAAGATCAATTGAAACTTAGTTTTATTTCTTCACAATTATTTCCCTTAAAAAAACTTCTCGATAAGTTACCATCTAACAAAAGTATATAGAGATTAGAGAGAAACGTAGAACTCAGAGTCCTGGGTTACTTCTAGAAGATAAGAACTTAATAATAATTACTCAACAAATTTACTATAAAAAAAAACCTTTCATTCGTGCTTTCGACTTTCAAAAGTAAATATAGCAGGAGTCGCGGTAACAATTTATTGTAGGTACGTACATTATTGGCAATGACCGAAACGTAAGAAATAAAACATCCATACCATGAATAACTTGCTGTTAGAGTATATCACTAGTAAAACCGAAAAATAAAACGATTATATTAATGTATTCTAAAATAAATATAAAAAGCTTTCGTTTGAACGAAGTTTAAAAATGGAAAATCCAAACAAAATCGATTTGCCAATCAAAAGGCCCATAACAGAGTGCACCAAACTGTTCCACATGATTTATGTGCCAGCCGGTGTCTATGTAGACATTCGCGGTCTACTGCAGTCACGGTAATTAAATCTCCCATTAATTAATATTGTCATTATAATAGCCATAACAATAAAATTTATCATTTGCTACGTCGAGCCGTATTAACGTAATCATAAATAGTAGGTTTTATAATGAGAACCTACCCTATTTATAAGAGAACAGTAGTTAAATGTGGTTTTGTCAAGGTATTATTTATTTTAGGTTTACAATTTACATTTATTTAAACTATTTCTCTTGTATTATTATAAAAACCAAGGTTTAAATTATGTTGGATCGTAGAAAAAAATACTGCCTTTTTAGATATAATTAAAGTAATCTTATGTTATTCCCCGTATTCAAATCATTCCGAGGACTCTTTGTCTGTATACATATTTTATTAATTATATGTTAATCTTAAAAAGGTATTGTTATGCTTAACCAACATTATAAACATTGAGGAGATTACTCATTCGGCTCTATATTTAAATGAAACTATATTTCTTTTAAATAAATTGTCCATATACGAAAGAATTTCACTATTTCTTCAGATTAAGTAGACTGTAGAGTTTTAATTAAATTTTTTTTTCTATATTAAGTGACTGTCGGTTGACAAAGGTTCGTTTTAAGAAAGAAAAATATAAGCCTATACTAAATGAAGGAATTTGTTGTTAATACCACGTTATTTTTTTATTTTTATTATTAAATCTTGACAGTTTTTGATTATTCTTCTCTTCTAATTTAAAGAAAGTATTTTATCGGTTTTTTAAATAACCACGATTAAGTCGTAGACAACGCCATCTATGTAATGATGAAGGTGTTATTTAGGTTTCTGTAGAGATTACCAGAGCAGATTTTACTCTATTTACAATGCGATAGATGTCGCTACACAATTCTAAAATACTTAAATCGTATTAAAGCAGGGTGTAAGTACCTTTAATATAAAAATTGTCTTTAGATAATGAAAATCTCTCAATGGAGATATAAAAGATTTTTTTTCACATTTGTAGACACTCACAATAAGGTTATATAGAGAGAGATTTATTTAAATAGGTATTTATATCTAAATTTTTGTTGGAATTGTATCTTAAAGGATTGTTAAAATTATACTACTATTTAAAAAATATAGATACATATTTTATTTCGGTATAACGGCCATATATTAAGTAAAATAGACATCACCTCTGATTAAAAGAGAAGTAGTATGTATTATATTTAAAAAAAATTTCTAATAAAATTACGTTTTCATATCTCGAGGAAGTTTTATTTAAAACTACAATAATAAAGTCATGTAAATATAAAGGGATAAACAGAGATTAACTAACGAAGGCTCATCAATCGACTAACTATATCGAACCCAATATTCTAAAGTTACATCATCATGACGTACAGAGCCAGAATCATTTTTTAACAAACAACTGAGTCGATACAAATCCAAAAAAAAGGTTTATCCGACCTGTGTATATCTATGAATAATAAATTTATATTGTATTTATTTTACATATTATTTTCTTCTTCTTTTTCTACTTCTACCTGGCAATTTCCCAGTTTATATTTTACACATTATTTTCTACGTTTTAAAGTTAATTGTACTTAATTTATTTACCTGCTAAAATAAGAAACGATTAATTCCCATTTTGATAATTTATGTACTATGAAAATTATTTAATAGTGAATAAAAAAAATACTCTTTAAATATACGTAAATTGGGAAAAAAGTGTTTTGTAGAATACTTAGACGTTTGTTATTTTGATAAGTTAATTCGATGATTAATATATTGTACATATTTATATATAGGGCAGAGTCGGATATATCGTACCACTTTTCACTTTAGCTCAAATATTTCGACTATAACACGTTTTATAATAATTAATACATATGTAAAATAAAGTTTCATATTTTAGCTCTCTGAGAAGAAGAGAACAGATCCTTGCGATTATTCTAACATTGTTAAAAATGCTTTTTTATAGAGGCTTTCCATCGGTACGATTTAGCCGACTAGTCGTTTTAATCGTACCACTAAGTCTTTAAATCGTAACATGGGTGTTTAAGTCGTACCGCTGAATGAAAGACATTAAAATTCTCAATCAAATTACTTATTTTTAACGGTTAGGTAAGTAATAAAACAATATTATTTATATCTTTTAGGTAATAGAAACATAATTTTTAACTCTTAGGTTATATAAAGGAACTACATATACTATAAAGCTTTCTCAGTAAAATTTAGATTATACTATGATAATGAGATCAATCATCATAACTAATAAAAATGAGACAAAAAAAAACAGTAAACTATAATAATAAAGTAATAGTTAACAAGAATGTTATTTGTAATATAATTATTGTGCATATTTCTTAATGGAAATAATCGTCACAAATGTCTGGATTCGAAGTACACGTCTCATGTAGCCGTTTACAGCGAACGCATCGAATCCAATCAACTTTTGGACCCTTGTTATCGTAGTAAGAACAATTGCACTTTCGACATATATTTTCAAGATAATCATCGCTGTCATCATCATCATCTAGTTCTACAACAAGTGTCTCTCCTGAATCATCGCTGCTGGTGATGGAATGAGATCGTTTCCTCTTATAACTTTTGTTCTTGGCCTTTGGTAGTACTTACTATACGTACTTGCGGTAGTACTATAGGTACTTGCGGTTGGTAGTCGGGTAAATCGTACCAGTACAACTTAACCAACTGCAAGTGGTACGATTAAACCAAATAAGGCATTTCTAAACCAAAAGCAAATATCCGGCATAAACTCAAAACTTAGACACGCAACAAAAACCCCCCATAATCTAGTATACAATTGTGGAATAATAAAAAAAAAACTGAATAACTATAGCTTACCTTGATTACGAGTTATCTCCTTACGAATGTACGACAATATATATATTAATTCCTACAAAAAATGTTTTTCTTTTATTACGTGCACAGTTGTTAACTCACGTCGATTTAAACTAGTGGGTGAAGAGGGATGGTACAGGGCCACGATTTGGCGTTGTCAGTGTAGAAAAATATATTCATTAAATGGGAAATTTAGAAGTGGTACGATTTAAATGCTAGTACGATATAACCATCTCTCCCCTACATATATTGAACAGTGGCCATAACAATGATGGCAGACATGTAATTTCTTTTGATAAAATGTCACTCTCCCAAGTATAAAAATGTCGATGTGATCATACTTTTACACCTGAAAATTTTGTTCTAAGAAAGAGTTTTAAGTAAGACCTAAATATTTATCTCATCTCCGTAAACATAAACGTTTTATTTATTATTCTTCTTGAAATTGATTTTCATTAATAACAACAAGGCTTAGGTATTAGTATACAATTCTGAAACCCATTTTAAGGAGCCCTTTTTTTTAATAAATATTATTAACTTTATTTACATTTCTAAGATATTTATTTTATCTCTTCTATAGTCTTTATTTTTCTCTGATGTCACGTATTTAAAAATTGACTGCAAAGTTTTCTGTAAAACGTCTTAAGATTAACTAGAAGTAAATATTTTTAATTATATAAAATTAATAAAATTCTTTTTTTTTATATTTAACACACATTTTGTTTTATTCACATTTAAATAAAAATATACTATGTCACTAGAAAAAACAGAGTTACATCCCAAATTTGACACCATAATTGTTTGAAATTCACGTCAGAACTTGATTAATATTACTGAACTTAATAAATAAATATATCTATTAAAATCCTCATAACTATTTCTCAAAGGGGATAGAATATGTTCTTAATATCTTATAAAAGTGTAAATTCTTACATCCTTTCAATCGGCTTACATGTACCTAATTTAAACCAATAATAACCATCAATTTTACAAGATAACTCGTGCTTCCTCAATATTACCAAAGCATAGGAAGTCATGCCTAATATGTCTACATAATAGACAATAAGTTACTTTGTATAACTGAGGCGGTTTAGCAATTAAGGTCAAATTCCATGGTAACTTCAGTGAACAATTTACTATAAATACAATTTTGCAGTATCTTACCATGTGACATGTGCCTAGGTATAAATTACCAGTATGTAGGTATCTCTTCTGACACTTCTTATCTTCACGGTTTAATTTGATTTAGAACAGCAAATATCAAAACTATACATCGGAGTTACATTCAATTAATGTTTTCGTTTATGTTGTCCTTACAACCACAAGTCCACACACTGGCTACCAGAAAAAATCAGTTCAAATTTTGTAGCCGATCGGGATAAGCCCTCTATTTGAACTCATACGTCCAAGGGAATCCTTTCAAGACACACGCATCGACCTACCTATGAATAGTGAAATTGAATAGTGTCCCCAATTAAAGTGAAGTGATAATGGTTTTATTTAAAACATCGTGATTAAATAAAGTTTTTTTATCAAAATAAATTATATTCCAATAAATTAAACAATGAATACTAAATATGGAGCGACTAATTCCAACGATATTACGGAAATTGAAGATCAGGAGACTTTAGATAATGAAATCGTTTTAAGGTATTGTGCTATAATCCAAAGTTCACGTGATTGACTTTATTCTTGTACAATTTGCAATTTAGTCAATTTATCACACGCGATGGCACAAAATGAAAATTGTCTTGCTTATTACGAAATATTGAAACTTCCTTCGTTCGATGTAACTTTTTGTTAAAATCAAACTGATAAGAAATGTTGAATATCAAACCATAAATATATAAATTTCAGCTTACTCATAAATTATGAAATATCAGTTTATTACATTAAGATTAAGCTGGGGTTAATTGTGAATAATTTTAATTTTGTAACATTTGAAGCACAGGAAATATATTTGATATAATTAGAAAATATATATTAAATTTAAAATATTTTCTTATTACTAAATCATGTAACGATAAACAAATACAATACATTAATGACCGCTATTAATTCAGTGTGCCATGCAAACGTCGAAGATGTCTTCCATGGCGGATGAACCAGAACCTTATATATGGTCTAGGTCATATATACAACGATCTGTGTGCAGCCATGTGGTTTTCATACATGATGCTGTTCTTCCAAGCTGTAATGGAAATGAGGGCAGTCATCAGCGGTGCCATGCTGCTCTTAGGTAACGTATTGTATTACCTGTGGCATTGATGGTAGTATCAAATTTAAACTAATCCCCTTCTAAATATTTCTATTGTTAGAATAACATACATATGAAATAAACTCATAAAAAATAATGTTTTTATTTGTATTGTAGAGCAAGGTTAATAATAAGTAGAATAAGTATGGATTACACTTGGCAATCGCCGACTAATGACAAGTAAATGAATGCTAATACTTTCTTTCATTTCAGGCCAAGTTGTGGATGCTCTAGCTACACCTGTTGTGGGAATACTTGCCGACAAATATAGCACTAAGAAAATTTGGCATTTAACAGGTACTAATGGAACTCTAAAACAATTATATTACTAGTATATTTTTACTATCTACTAAAGGGTTTAAATTATGTTTGGAGGTACCTAAACATTTTTTAAACGATTTCCCGAAACCTTGGAATGAAGAACTTGAAATTTCGATTGCTTAATTTATTTCGTATTTTAGTATTAAAATATATCGAGCTGTTTCAAAGGTAAACCTAAACCAATAAACAAGCGATTGGAAAAAAAAGTGGTAAAATTATTCTGAACATTTATTCTAGGTGATATATTTATTTTAAAATGATAACACAATTCTATTTTCTTGATTTGGTTTGAAGAACAAATTGGATGCAATGTGAATTCTCTTCATAGTTTCGGGAAACAGATGTGTTAGACATAGTTAAAGCAACAATTCGTGAAAATATATGATATGTATATTATATATAAACATTTTCCAGGCAGTGCACTGGTAACATTCACTTTTCCACTTCTCTTCATCCGATGTTGGGGCTGTTCTTCTGATAGCACCGCAGAATATCTCACCTGGTGGATTCCATTCTATTATGCTTTTTTGATAATATTCTTTCAAATCGGTTGGGCTATTGTACAAATATCTCATCTAGCGATCATTCCATCTATTACTGAGAGTCTACAAGTCCGATCCGAGTTGACTTCAATAAGGTGAGTTTTGATTTCAATTCAATGTAATATGTACGATAATCTTCATTACAGCAAAGCAATATCTATTGACTTCTGTATTGTTTCCAGACTATTCTGTACTATTTCGAATAGTTCTTTCGTATAGAAGGAAATTTATATAATACATAAAACATAATATTATCAATTTGAAAATGAGAGGCCATTTATTTTAAACTACACTTAAGCTAATCGTAATGAATCATTATTCTTACTTAAAATACGTCTCGATCATTCAAAAAACAATGAACTATTTCACTTGCAGATATATGGCTTCGGTCATATCCAGCTTGGCCGTGTACTTTATAACGTGGATAGTATTAAGAGCAACAAACTACAGCACATTCATCGGACCGTCAGACGATTACAAATTTAGGGTAATTATATATTTTGGTAAACGTCTATTTAACGCTATATTCGTGAATATTGAATTGAACTTGATAATTACGTAATGTAAACTATATCGAAGTATGTTTTGTTAAATAATATTAAAAAGAAAAATTATATAATATCGTTAAATTATGTATACATTATAGTAAAAAGAACTCCTAAACATATGAATCATATTATAACTTTGAAATAAAGAAGTCTATAATTATTATAGTCCTTTATTTGCATTTATTTCTGTTTGCAATTGATTTTTTTTTTAATTAACCAGATCATTGATATATGTTTTTTTTATTTCAGGATGTTTCCCTTATCATAACTGTTATGGGAGTAGTATCGTATATTGTTTTTCACGTCTTCTTCAATTTGAATCCTTTAAAAGAGGAGAAACCTAAAGCGAATGGGCATGTGATCGAGAGCGGAGAAAATGAACCGCTTAAAATGACAGCGAAATCCAAAATTATGCATTTCTTACAGATGCCATTGTTATATCAAACAAGTTTATTGTAAGTTTTCAACAATCGTTACATTCTACTGTAAGTTGTAGTGCCTTGTATAGCAAAACTATACATAAATTTTAAACAAAATCCCATTTTGAGTTACATTTAATTATACAACTACTACAAAGCTACTTAAAATCGGTATGTTTAAGTAAAATTCAAACAACACTCAGACTTTCAAAATAAATTTAATATTAAAAAAAACTAAAGGAATCTAAACACAAGTACATTATTATCTTTACACAAAAAAGTGTCAAGATCTATTTATAAACTCAGTGTAGGTCTTAAAAAATCCAATAACATCGATAATGTTGATTTCGATGATTTTTATTCAATATATTTATAAACAATATTTAATTAATATACATAATTATAAACAATTTCGACAAGTCTGCGGATGGATATTTGTATTTACGTATCTTGAAAAAAAAACAAATTAATATGAACGTAACTGCATTATCTATTAACACAATTAAAAACACTAAACTAAACTACTAATAAACACTTTTATGATGGTAGAGCCTAGCTGTGGTCAAATCATTGCAGCTCGAACTCAGGCTGGCTTGACCTGGTTAGTACCACCCTCTCACAAAAGATAGGCGTAAAGTATGTAGTTTCGTCCGATACGTGAGAGTGCCGGATGCCCTTTCCTTTTTCCCACCCTTTCCTGTCCTTTTCCCTCTGCCACCCTTTCTTCTCCCTCTTTCCCAATCAAGAGTGACAACGCATCCGCAAAACTATATTGCGGATGTCCAGGGGTGACCGTGCTATCTCTATCAAGTAGGCCGTTTGCTCGTTTCCAACCCTATAACATAAAAAAAGTTAAAAAAAAGTAAATAGAACAGCACTATTACAGTCGCTACAAAAGTAATTCTGTAAAAGCACATCAATGACATCTTTAAAAATGACTCCAACAACATACTTATGTAGTCTATCGACTAATTTAATGATTCCATAATTTTATTTTTTACCAGGTACGTGTTCTCCCGTCTATATTGGGCTCTGAGCCTAGTGTACGTCCCGTTGTTCCTCGAGGAGCGTCTATCAGTGAATCCGAGCGAGGGATCCGAACTTGTAGCAAGCGTGCCGCTCGTCCTGTATATATCCTCTCTCGTCTTTTCCTTTCTTTTGAAAAGCAATATTAATAAAATTGGACACCAGGTACTTAATGTCGAAATAAGTATATTAAAAAACGTTAATTATTCGATTACGAGATAATGTAATTAATTTATTATTGTAGGTAGCGTATTTCATAGGCAGTTCTCTGAGTTTGGTGAGCTGCTTTTGGATAGCACTAGCTATCTCACCGGATGCGCATGTTGCTCAAATATATTTAGTTGCAACATTAATAGGTAAGGCATTACACATTAGACATATATGACACAAAGAATACGAATTTCCTAATATTTAAGTATCTATTCGTTTTGATGAAAATAAGTAACCTCGTATTAAATAACACAAATAAGTAGGGTTGTTCTGTTGTTCTCTACATTTACTAACTTCTAAAGTCTATTACAGTGATTTTATTTGAAAAAAAACGACTTTTAAATATCTATCACTCATAGAAAAAGTACTGCATTTCAATTCATCTCAAAAGCAAGCTTAAGCTAAAGTTTTATTACTTATACGAAATTAAATATCAAGTTTGACTCATTAAAAATAATACACAACCAACGATTAACTGAAACTATGACACAGCTAACTGCAACGATTGGTTTACAAACAAAACATAACGAAAAACAGGTTACATAGTCCTAGGGCTTCAAAAACCATATCTTTATATTTGAATTAAAATATCAAGCAAATTGAACAATCTGTTATTAATCTCATTTCAGGTGCAGGCAGCTCTATAACCCTTGTGTCTAGTCTCTGTGTGACAGCCGATTTAATTGGACCCCATTCTCATCAAGGCGCACTTATATACTCTATTGTGACATTTGCCGATAAACTAGTAACAGGAATCGCCGTAGTAGCTATTGAAAACTAGTAAGTTAATATAATTAAGATATTTATTTTTCAAAATTAACCACCAACTTTTCCTTTTCAAATTTAAATATACGATATTTCAATTTGTAAATGCGGAAAATATTAGAAAATATTCATTATAATAACTTCGTAATTAAATACTAATTCATGTTAGTAGACTCAAATATATATAAATAAGAATAACATTTCCGTTTCTTACTGAAATATTATTTTCATTACAGCAAATGCGACGATACTTTGGATTGCCCGCAATATTATAGAGGGGTCCTAACTTACGCTTGTGGAGGCAGTGCAGTTCTTGGCATTCTGTCTCTATCAATAACTACTTTAGGTTCGAAAAAGAAAACACCAACATAATATAATCACATTTTTTTATTACATATATAATAGAGGATAATTAGTTATAAGATAATATTGTTTTACCAAATTAAATGCTTACAAATTTATATTGGTTTTATTGGATTTAAATTAAACACATCTATGTAAGGATCATATGCCATTTGAGTATTAATAAATACATTTACATTTAAATGCAGTTTTTGACACTTTTGTTTTGCCTTTTTAAGTATTTGCATTTTTTTGGTTCTGTTGGTAGTACTGACAGGTCCATAAACATACAAACAATACAAATTATCACATTTTTTGAACATGGTCAATGGATCGGACAAATCAAAAGTATCTGAAGACATATCACATATATTTACATTTTCTAAAGTCTTACATTGACTCATAGACGAAAATAATGTTTTGAAATCAATTCTCCTGTCCACTAACCTAAGGTTCTTTATATTCCTATTCAATGGCAAGGACCTAGATATTGATGAAAGACATGAGCAAAGAGAGGGTGCTTCAACAACTAATGTTACTAGATTTTCACAGCATCTAAATAAAATATTAAAAAATTCTGTGCTATAGCGCACTGTTCCATTTAAGCTTAAATAAGTTAATTTTCTTAAATATGTACTATTAACTGATAATGTAACAGCACTCTTCATTTGACCATCAAATTGTAAACTTAACTGTAACTCATTTTTATCTGCAAACTCCTCATCATAATTTAAAACAAGATTGGAAAGAGCAAGTCTTTTTTTTTTGAAGCCTGTATCATATATATCATATTGTTGCGGAACAGTTGGTTCCTTTGGGGTAGTGTAATACCAGTCATTTTTTGAAGCAAGTGGCATCTTTCCCGTGGTGAAATTACATGGAAATAGCTGTTTCAACTTATTCAGCAACTGTGTGAAGAATTTGTCATCAAATGTTGTGGAGCTTTTATTCCACATCATTACACATACATTGCCCGATAAAGAAATTGAAAAATCTGTTAACGTTTCAGTTCTTACATGAAAATTATCATTGAGAAAATCAGTGAATAGAACAGATGCATATACTGCAAAGAGCTGAAGATTAGGCCTCACTATAATGATAACTTCATACTTTGAAAAATCTAACATGTTGAATAAATACATTTCCTGCATAAAACCATAATAAACATTAGAGTTTCTACTGTACAATAAATACACTGCAAAATAATCAAAGTTAATCATATCTTCACATTCTTCATTTTCATATGGAGTCATTTCACATTCAGTGATGGAGTATTTTAATGTTTTTAATCTGGCCTTTTGTAAAATGAATGGTCCCAATTGAGAATATATTAAATTAGTAAGATTTCCAACAAAATGCACACATTCAAAGTTTTTAAAGACATCCTGACATTGCAGCAATTGCTTCTTCAATAACCTTATTTGCACTGATTTTCCAAATACAAAGTTAACACTTATATTCTTTATTGTTGGACATAACTCATATATGTCTATAATGTCCAATACATTAATATTTGTGTATGAGACATTTAAAACATTTAAATTTTTTAATCTGCTCATAGCAGGTAGTAAGAGGTTTTTGTTTAAATCGACGATGCCACTCATATTCAATTCTTGTAGTTGTTTTGATATATTTTTAAAAAAATCTAATTTTAAAGTTTGAACAGTAGCCATTATATTAAGGGACATGTTGCAGGTTTTAATGATCCCATACATCGATATTATATCTCGTACTCGATCACATGCAGTATATAAATTGTTTAAGGACATCATATCTAGATGTTTTATTATTATAATTATAATTTCTTCAGGTAAATCAACAAAACTCATTTTAGAAGTTGTCTCAAAATGCACCGTTTTTCCACACTTCTAATTCATACGAAATGTCTTACTAATTATTTATGATAGGCTTTTTAATGTTTTGTTTTAAAAAATATTATCCCTTCTATATTCTGATTACTATACATAAAACGCCAGACGCAAAAGTCAAGAGTGAAACCTCAAAACTGTCCATAGATTCATACATTATCCTAGACAATAGAAAATGTCATCTGTAGGAACATCAAATCGAAGTTGAAATTAGGTTGTTGACACATAGTATTGCATGCTACTGCACACTTTTATCAACATTGGAAGGAATTAAAAACATTATTAAATTTCAAAAACGTAAAAGTAACTTTATTAATATCATTCTACAGATGAAAAATTTATCAATACGACAAGCACGGCAATGTATTTCGGCCTTACAAAACTAAATCTTAAATATCTATTTTGCTAAGATTTTTGACTTATTTCCAATATTTATTTTCTTTCGATTTTTTATCATAACCTTTATTTTATTTTCTCACATAAAGTGTTAAATAAATTTAAACTTACTGTAAGCTGATTAAGTATTTTATATTTATTTACTACTTTAAAAGCATAAACAAGTAGACATGTGTATTTCTATTCTACTTAACTACATATATCTTTAATGAGGGCTTTATAGATAAATATAATGTTTTAAATAATATTTTTTAGTTGATATTTATTACGTTGTTAAACTAATTATTTTGTAGTATAAACACTATATAGAAACAGTATATATTTAGGAATGGTTAAAAAAAAATCATAATCAGAACACCTTTGTATTTCTTAAGAATTACAATAGTAGAAGTTATTAATAACATACATAACAATTAAGTTATAGATATAATTCAAAATCAATTCTACTAGAACTATAAAACTGTGTGTCTTCACCATATTTCCGAACCCAAACTTCAGTTTTGAAATGTCCATCAGTAGACCACTTTTGCATTTGTTCTGTGGAGTGCGGTCCAGAGATCTCTGCATTATTGTCTTGTGACCATTTAAATTCCCATTTAACTTCATTGGAATTCTCCGGATTTTCCTTTTCAACAGGTTCTTCTTCTGTTTTCTTTGTGTCCATACTAGTTTTCTCCTTCACATCAAAGTCATCGGCGTACATGTCCAGTTCTGAGTCTCCTTTTGCTTTGTTATCCTTTGATATAACATTGTTTATTTTTTCAAATGTTTCCTGATATATATCCATGTTACCAGTTTTTGTAAGAATTTGATTCGCCAGCTCAGTTATTCTAGTAACAACTTGACTTCCTTCATCAAGAGTTCCAGCTTTTTTCCTCTTCCACCTCTCAGCGCTGGACATTTTAGAGCTCGCACCTACAAAAAAGATATGAATATTATTGAACTGTTCTTATTCCAATATTTTGTTTTACATGACATCCTACTAATATTATAATTGCGAAAGTTTATGAGTGTGTGTGTATGTTTGTTACTTCTTGACACTCAAACGGCTGAAGTGATTTTGATAAAATTTTGTATACAGGAAGCTGACGTCCAGGAATAACACATAGGCTATTTTAAATTCCAGAAATCCTGGAAATCTACGGGTAACACCGCAGGGCACAGCTAGTTACTTATAAAAGCTTTAGAACAAAATTATAACCTAATAACTAAATACTAGCTTTTGCTGTCAATAACAATATAAAAAACTTAATACTTTACAATGAATATAACACTAACCTAGGCGCTGTAATGTTTTAGCAATTGTCTCCTTTGGTTTCATGTGACTAACAATTTCTTTGTAATTTCTTATTAAATCAAATTTTTCCGTCTCCTTTTCCTCTTCTGAGTCAGAGTCTGTATCATCTAATACACTCATTTCACCTTCTGGTTTATGTATCTTATATTTATTTTCAGGTTGATCTTTTACCTTAACCCAATCAATATTATCCAACCAACTGTCCCTAATTTCTTTTTCTTTTTTCCAATGATAATGCCCTTGAGTGTCAAAATGACCTTCTTCCAATTCCTCTTTCATATTGAATGGTGTTATTGTTATCTGAAATGATATAATCACGATTAATTAAAAATGAAGACAGGAAAATATAGCGCTGTCGTCAAATAATATCTACCATATAATATAAATCTAGACATCTTTAAGGGCTTTGAAGTATAATAATACGAAGTCTGCTGGTATTATCACAACATAAACCACAGGAGATATTTACTCACTTCACCTTCCATGCCACCCGCGCCATCTTCTTCGCCTTCTATATCATCAGCGTTCAACACATTACGTTTCTCTTCCTCAGCACCACTGTCCTCCTCGTCCGAATCCAAAGAATGCTTCTTGCCATCCTTTACAACTTTTCTATTAACATTTTCGTTAAAAGCAACTGATGCTGCTCGTTTGGACATTATAAAAGATTTTTAATATATAAGGGTTCCTATGATAACAGCTAATTCATTTTTTTCTTACTATATTAATATGAACTTAATTTTATGCCTACAGTAATAAAGTTTTATAATAAAGGTAAAAATGTTTTATTCCCTATGCATACAATAAAGAATTAATACCCGACGCACAAAACTTCTAACTATAAAGGACATACGTATATGTCAATGAAACCTTGACAGGTGCCTAAAATTAAAAATCAAAAAAGAAATAGTCGTAAGCTTTTAGAATGTTAAAGTAAAATAATATTTTTGTTGTAGTATAAGCTACAGTCTCTGTGATTTTTTTTTTTGGTATATAAACTAATTTTTTTTTATTTTCAATATTTTTTAGCATATTATTGTTGAAGTATTGACTTATATATTATTACTTATAATTGACTTATATATGAATAGCAAGTAAATTTAAGCTTTTATTGAGATATATGTAATATCTATATTTTTTTAAATAAAATTATGCCCTATTGGATTACCTAAAAAATAAAATAAAATTTTACCTTTTTAAATATCTAAATACATTATAAACATTATTATCAAATATTATAAATAATAATATAATATACTATTATTTTATATATTGTTAATTTTATTATAGTATATTTATTTAAATTTATATGAATATTATAATATAATATTGGTTTTTAAAGTTCTTGGTGTGGGTTTTCAACGATTTTTAATATCTTTAAAGATTTTTTTTGGGTTTTACAAAACACATTTAATTTATAAGGGATCTTTTGCTACACAGGCTACATTTTTCATCTATTTAACATAGGTTTCATTACAAGCGGTCTCTTAGTAAATATAAAGTAAAAGTCGCTTTTTTTAGCTGACCGTTGGTTTATATACTAAACTAAAAGACCCGGCGAACTTCGTATCGCCCTATAATCAAGAAATATCTGTTACGTTTTTTTATTAATATTTTTGGAGTTTACCTATTAATGCCATAAATCTCCGTGTTTTGAAGTGCGACAGAATGATTGACATATTAGTTACTTGTCAAATATAAAGACGGAAAAAAAAACGATTGTATCAACAACTACTAATAAATTAAAAATTAATTAAAAAAACATTGTCCATCGGACAAAATTGTGAATCTAAACCATTCCCAGATCCCCTTGAACACACACAAAAAATTTCATCAAAATCGGTCCAGTCGTTTGAGAGAAGTTCAGTGACATACACACTCACAGAAGAATTATATAAGTAAAGATTAGTTATTAAAACAGGTTCGCTATCGTGTAAGTATTATATTTGTGAGTTTTGAGTAGGTTTTAATATAATAATTGCATTCAGTTGCTAACAAGCTTCTGTTGTGGGGATTATTATAAACTACTCAAATATGGATTTAACAATATTAATATTTTTTATTAGTTCCCTTTTATTTCTTAAATTTTAACGTTATAAAGTTCATATTAAAACACGACTCTAATCGTCAAATAATTTTCACTTACATCGTAAGTTTATAAAAATCAAGCAAATCTTTTATTTTTAATATATATATTATTAATTGAATATTAATTTGTTTTGTTTTTGTAATATATATATTTTTTTATTTATTCTTAAAAAACTCAATTAAAAATTATCGTGAATAAATAATAACTTTTTATTGTTGCACAAATTTAATAAAATTATGGTTGAAACAACATTCGAATTTTCTTCTTTTAATTTATAAAAATAGCATAGATATAAATATTTAAATACGTATTAATTATATTTTTCACTTTTAATTATTTTCTATAATTTACCACTTCTTAGGCTCTATTAAACAAAATTCAATAATTTATATGTATAACTTTAATTAAATATAAAGTTATTCAAAAACGGAAATGGCGTAGCTATTTTTAAAAGCTGGCCACATTCGAAGATATTTTTTCTAAAATTTCGTGTCAGGGCTTTGGCAGTGGCAATATGGCTGTAGCTTTCGAGTTTCGCTGGTAGTGCGCGGTGCTCAAATCGATTTCAGTATAGAACGGTGTAATTCTGACGACTCTAAAGTTTCATTTTTAATTTTTTTAGTGATTGTTATCTCTGTTTACCTTATTTTTGCCAAAGTTATATAGGGAAAATACTGATTTTCATTTCCGTCGTCACCAGAATTCATGCGACGACAAAATGGCGTCGCTTGACAAGATTTTACTGCAAATTATAATTTTCAATTTTATCGGCAAATCTTAAAACAATTCAAAAAAATGTTTTAATAAGTTTTTTGATATTTATTTATGAAATGAATTAACCGCGTTTAACTGTTTTCAAGTTGCAATTGTAAAAAATACAGTGTATTCATTGAAATATCTTCAAAATGCACTTGGTAAGTGTTTTTAAAGCTATTTGGAGTATTGTTTTTGTGTATATGATACTTATTTTAATATTTCGGATTTTGTTTAATAAGAGAACGTTCTAGAAGTGCTGGGTGTGGCCTTAAGATGAAGAGTTTTTTTAAGACGTAATAGTGAATAAATCGTTTTCAACGATTGTTTACAATATATTTTGGCTTTTTTATGTATGAAAATGTGATTGTTCCACGAAAAAAATCAGTTTTATTGTTTCTTTGTTACGTAATCTTTCAATAGAGACCAAGGAAACTTATTTTGGAAATGGACCCATTTTAGCAATTTGCCTTTGAAAATTGGTCTTCTTCAGCAATGTTTATGTAGTATGATGCTTTGAGGTTATGTTCTCATAATTTATTTTAAATATTTTATCAATTTTGCTTTGCAATGGGCATTTACATCCTGTGGTGGTAAACCTTCTACTTCACCAATTTTGGTTGCATTTTTCAAAAAAAAAAAAAATATACTATTTTTAAGAACCTTTACCAAAGATGAAGCTGTTTAGTACATAGTTTTTTGAAATTTTTATTATCATTTCAAAGTATTTTCGCCCATTTGGCTTTTTTATATATTTTTTTGTATTTTTTGTACTATTTTGATATAAAATTCTCGCTTTATGGAGTTTGGTGCGGTCTTGATATCACAGTGCTTTCTTTCTGAAGTATCTCTAAATTGTTTAATCCTTTTATTGTAGTATCATTACATTTTTACATATTTACTTCTTAGGTGGTGCGCTAAATAATATTTACTAATTGCTTAGCCCAGTTTTCAAAGCTTTCAACCTGTACATTAACAACAGGCTGTAAGGTGACCAAAATTATCAACATTTCATGTTCTATACTTTTCAGGCTGGTTCTATGGGTGAATCTGGAAGTGAATCTATTAGTGAGAAGGGAGGCAAGAGTGATTCAAGTGGGTCGGGTTCTGGCAGTGACAGGTGGTTCTTCAAACTTAAAGATTTGTAGTAATTTTAGAAACGCTATGGATATTATTATATCATATTATTCAACAGTGACAGCGGATCAAGTTCTTCTGGTTCTGGTTCAGGAGGCAGGTCTGGTTCTGAAAAATCTTCAAATGGAGACCGGTCACACCTAAGTGATGACACCAAGGGATCTCCAAAGCACAGTAATGCTAATTCTTCAAAATCTGATCGCCACTCTGACAAAGACTCCTCCGATGATTCTATCACAAAGCGTAAGTCAAGAAACAATCATGGAAAAGTTAAATCAGATCTTTGGGAAGATAACCCCGATATTTATGGTATTCGAAGATCAGGCAGGTCAAGGAAAGAGCCAGACAGACTTAAGGTAGCTGATAGTGATTCAAGTGATAAGGGTCAAAGCCACAGTAGAAAAAGTAGGAAAAGAAGGTAGTTTCTTAGATTCTAATATTTCTTTTTATATCTGCAATTTATATTTGACAATTATATATTATAATAATTTAATATTTTTAGTGATTCATGGAATTCAGATACGTCAGATAGTGATAGTGATATGAAGGGTTCCCCACCTCCGCCATCTAAGCGTCCGGGCCAAAGAAGTGTTCCTCTCAGAAAAAAGAAACCAACAAGGAGAAGAAGGTTTACAAGTGACGAAGAAGAAAGTTCAGAAGCATCTGATGAAGATACCAAAAGGTAATATTCAATGTTACATTTATTATTCTCTTTAATATCTCCTCCCATATTTTTTTGTCTTTTAATAGTAAAAGTTTTATAAAGCAAATATTTTATTCAACATATTCCAGTTATATCTCCAAGTCTCATGAAATACAAACTGTACTATAATATATAAAAATAAACACAAGGTAACAGTGTGATTGGTGAAGGTTAATTTGAAAGATATTAACAAAAAAAAAAAATTCTTGGGCAAATAATGTTCAAATGCACAAGCATAATCACATTTTTATCTGAAGGTGATATTTAGTTATTATTTTACACTCGTTTGAAATGAGTTTGAATTTCTTTCCAAGAAAGGATTTTTCAAAAGCGATTGGGGAGTTTTTGCTTTTTATCTCAATACACTCATTCTCTCAAAGTGAAAAATATTCTGATAATGTTAATAAAACAATAATAGTTAGATAAGTGTCTTAGCTTCTTTTTATAAAAAAGATTTATAATAATACAGATTATATTGTTAATAAATAAATAGGTAATTATTATATTATATATATACATAAACATACATACATACTCATTACAATTTCCTGATTGCTTCTTTTACTGACAGTAAATTTTTTTTTGTTAAAATTGGTTACTTGGTTATGTAATAATATATATACTTATAGGGATAATTCTGTAAGTTTATAGATATACTCAAGTAAAGCAGTCTAGGCATATTTACTTTGAAGTACTGAACAATAAAATTTTCAAAAAAGAAAATATTACAATGAGGCGACCTTGACTTAATGATCCAACCTTAGGCCTACAGTTACTGCATATTCATGAGCCATAGAATTACCTTAATGGACATTTTCTGGATTGATATGTAAATGCCAGTGGCAAACCTTTTATATTAAAAAAAACTTTTTTTGTGGTATATGTTGTGATTTTCATGTAGACAACAAACTTCAATATTAAATTTGGTATCACAATCTTTTTGCACTATGATGTAAAGTTGTGATATGGATTTTGGA